ATCGTTCTCCTGCCTCATCCTGTAGAGGGCTCAGGCATTCTCTCCTCTCCCCTGACACCCAACTGACTAAAGCGCTTTCTTTCGCCCGCCTGAGCTCTGCCGCGAGCACAGACGGGCGAAAGGAAATGCTTTAGTCAGTGGGGTGTTGGGGGAGAGGACTGCCTCACCAGCCATAAACCTCACCGCACGTCACTGAAGCAAAAGTGCTTGCAAGTATAAATTAAGAGGGAGAGGCAGTAGGTGAGTTCCTACCGGTTCAGTTTGGTTCGCTCAAACAAGTAGTAAAAATCTGGTGTATCTTTCTGAACTGGTAATAATAACAGCCTGGCCATGAACCGGTTCCCTGAACCGGTTCCCTCAGTGGCCACTGCCGTTGCCGGCATGTTTTTTGGCTGGAAAAGGAGGCAGAGAGAAACAATCTTGTTACCAAGGTATGCAACAGGGGGGAGGGGGAAATTCCAACTTCAGCCTCCTGGTGCGGCGCGAGGCTTGGTGAGGGGGCCCTGAGACTGAGTGTGTGAGAGTGACGTCAAGTTGGCCACGCCCACTCAGTCACATGCCCCCATCTAGCCACGCCCACCAAACCGGTAGAAATTTTTTTTGAAACCCACCTCTGGTGACAGTGAGAACAATGAATCAGTGGAACAGAAGTTGCCTCCAGAAGTTGTGAATGCCCCAACACTGGAAGTCTTTAAGAAGATGTTGCATAGCCATTTGTTTGAAACGGTATAGGGTTTCCTGCCTAGGCAGAGGGTTGGACTAGAAGACCTCCAAGGTCCCTTCCAACTCTGTTATTCTAAGTTACCAAATTTAAATACACTTCGTCTAAAGACTACGTACGTTGCCATTGCCAGAAAGGTTTTATGAACAGCAATAAACGTGTATCATTTTTTTATCTGAACGGTATTTTCTCCACAAGAACTGACTGCAACCCAGCGAGATCATTAGCTTTAATCCACTGTCTTCTTCCTCCACAGGATCTTTAATTTCAGGGCACCACAAGCCTGTTAACTCCAGCATCTTGTCCAAGAATCCAGATGACAGCAAGAGCATACATTCAGGTAGAAGAAACATTGCACCATTTTTTACTCTATCATCATCATCATCATCATCGTCATCATCATCTTCTTTTCACGACCTCATAATCCCTTGATTGTCCAGTCATGCTGACTTTTGCAGAAACCCGCATGATGGGACAATCATTCTGAAATCGTTTGGTGGGTGTGGTGGCCACCGATGCATGTGATATATTTAGGAAAGTCTGTTTCGCGTTCTTTGAGGCATTCCCCTTTCTCTTCGTTCCCAGTGGACAACGATCCCCATTTCATCATCACCCTCCCAAGGCAACAGAAGAACATCTGCTTCAATATTGATTCTCAACCAGGGGCCATCCTGAATTTGATATCAGACGCGGAGTCCAGTAAGAGAAATGCACAATCTATGGATGGTTTAACTGAGAGGCATCCATAATTGGGTTTGGGGGGAAAGGTTTACTCAATCGTAGTATTGAATCTGAAAACAAGTCAAAAGCTAGCAAAATCTCTCTGAGATGCAAGCCACTAGCCTGTGAGTTGGGGATACAGTGCTCAGGTCTCCTGGCTTGGAGATGTAGCTCTGGTTACCCCACAGCAGGTAGTAGACATGGATGGGGTTAGCATCGTTCATAAGCATCCTAACTTCTTTCTTCTTTCTTCTTTCTTCTTTCTTCTTTCTTCTTTCTTCTTCTTCTTCTTCTTCTTCTTCTTCTTCTTCTTCTTCTTCTTCTTCTTCTTCT